TGATGAGAAAGTGGGAAGTAGGATAAGGGAGGAAAAGAGATTCACGTATCTGAAAGGGAAGGATAAGGAATGACTTGACATTTGCATGGAAATCTGGTGGGTAGAGCTTATTTTCTAAGGGTAATGTGTGTTTAACCGGGATTTGCATGGGAAAATGGAGGATTTGAGCATCACATCACAAGGTCAAACCCCTTTATCTTCTTAGGATCCTCTTAAAATCTTGGGTTTTTATTTTATATAAATATATTTAAAATATTTAATTTTGGCATAAAATAGGAGTTTCAGGGGTTTAGGACATGAAAATTACGAGTTTGGTGTGATTTCCGGCATCAAAATGCCTCAAAATAGTGAAAAAGTCCGAAAATGATGAAAATCTGAAGTGGGATGATGCTCCTGCGAGGGTCCGCCGAAAGGCTTGAGAAAGATTCCGGAGTCGCTTGCTAAAATTTTGAAGTGAACAGTACTTTCCGGAGTCATCAGGCGGAGTTCCGAAGTCAGAAGGCGGAGTGCGGTCCGGCCCACGGCTTCCGAAATGAGGTGGGGTGGGGTGAGATCTTCTGGAGCCAATGAGTCCGGAGGTGCGAGATTGTCCGGGTAGGAGGCTTCCTGTATTGCGAGAGGGCTCGGTACTTCAGGCTTCCGGAGCTTCTCTCTTTCGGAGTTAGTCAGAGGTTCCGAAGCAAACAGAAGCATTCCAGATTTTATCAGAAGCATGCGAAGTAGGGAGGGTTCCGGCCTAAGAGGATTCCGGACCAAGAGGGTTCCGGACGAGAGGTTCAGGACCAAGAGGAGTCCGAACTAAGAGGGTTCCGGACCAAGAGGAGTCTGGACCAAGAGGGTCCTTTTGGGTTCTCTCCTTCGGTTTTGGGCTGTTTTCGACTAAGGAAGATATTTAGGGAGATTTGGGAGAGATTTCACATACTTGGAGAGATTTGGGAGAGATTCCATATTCTTGGAGAGATTTGGGAGAGATTTGATATTCTTGGATAGATTTGAGAAAAGACTTCATTTCCTTGGAGAGATTTGAGAAAAGACTTCATTTTCTTGGAGAGATTCGGGAAAAGACTTCATTTTCTTGGAGATTTTTTGGAGAGAGATAGATACAGTAGGGGAGATTAGGAGAGACTTTGTCAGGAGCCTTTATTAATGTTTTTCTTCGTAGTGTAAGGTCCTTAGACTTATATACATTCTATTTTGAGTGTTATACACCCCCGAAGGGCACTCAATAGTGCTTTAAAGAGTTGTTACTTCCCTAAATCAAATTAGGGTTTTAAATTTTGAACTTTTGAGACTTTCAAGTGTTACGTTTCATTAGGAATTATAGTTGAATATTAGGAAACATAAAGAATATCCTAACATATAAGCACTAGTTAAGTTGACCAGATGGTCGGTTGACCTTGACTTGACTTTGACTTTGACCAAAAGTTTGCCGATTATCACACTACACATGGAGGGGAGTAATACCAACGCATACTCGTAGACTTAATCTACAAGATCTTTTGAGTAAAATGAACTATGCTTTCGTCAATATGCCCCCAGTGGTGCTTGAACCGAAGCCGAAGTGTCCTGTAGTTCTGCTAACCTATGCTTGGCTGCGACCACTTTCTCTTCGTGAGTCGAGTGTCTATCCCGAAGCTCTCTTGCCTTTTCCTGAGTGGCGACAAGCTCCTTAATGAGTTGGTCTAAAAAATAGTAGTCTCTTTCCGAGTCTCGAGTTTATGAGATAACAGCGTCTATAGCAGCGTGCAGTTCCCTAACTCGAGGTTCGTGATCTGTTGGGTCATCATCGGGAGGGCTCTAACAACCGGTCCCCCATGGTTGAGGTCATTGCAACTTCGTTGGTCTCCAAATGGCGATTGATGTTGCTGATGGTGACTCCACCCACTTCGATCAATGTTGCTTAATGGGGCACAGGTCCAATGTAGTCGAAACGGTTCGCGAGATTCCTGGCTACGTAAGGAGAGTCGTCGACCTTTGACTCCACTTCCGACTCTTTTCCCAATTGTCCTCAAACTCTCTGAGTTCGGAAAGTAGGGGTCTCCTGGTAAGTAAGATCCTGCCATGATGTCCGTGCGAGAATAGGGGTAAAGTAAGAGGCATATAATAATCATATTCCTAGAATACTTATATGGGTTTGATCCTCCTTAGTTACTTCTATAATGACATGGTGCATACCAGTTACATATAACAAAAGATATGATAAACCTTCGAATAAGTGATCATACTCCAAAACCACAACCAAACAAGGAACAGGAAGTAAAGAAATGATCACAGATTCTAAGTCTATGATATCCAAGTTATATATAATTTTAATGTATCCACTTAGTGATTGTAGATCTACTATCAAGAATTTGTTTAATTTTTACGTAAGTTATAGTAACACAAAATACTCCTATAGTATTTTAAATGTTATGTTTGGTTCTTAATAGTATTCTTTTTTAGGAACTTTTTAGGTTTGTTGCTCACTACGACCATTCCCCGGCATACATCAATCACACCTCAAATAAATATAGTTGATCAGGTTATATCCGTCCCAAGTCTGATCACATATCCCAGGGCCTACCCGTAGTGTCCAACTCCTCATTTTACTTTCGTATTGTCCTAGATATGATACTATAATAGTATGTGTGCATGTATTTATACTTTTTGACCAGAAACTATTTCATTTCTAAAAGTATAGTTATTTGAAAATGCTAAATCAGAGACTTTAGTCCCAATGCATTTATAGTTTGTATATCTTATGTGGTTCGATATACTTAGTTTACTATAAACAATGCTCTAATACCAATCTGTCACACCCCCAAACCTAGGATGGCAGAAACGTTCGGGGTGGCGGACTTCATGTATAGTATCATAACAACGAGTATAATAGTGATCAAAGCAATACAACCAATCATAAATATAATCGGAACAGAGTTACATGGTTTCAAGTATTACATATTTCAATGATTGATTACAACATGATATAAAAATAGTTGTTCAACGTCGTAACGTTCCATCCTCAAAAGCTTGTGGTTACCTGGTTTTTTGATTTTCTGAGAATACAAGTTGTTTTGAAAAAGTGCCAACAATTAAGTTGGTGAGTTCATAAGCTTTTTAGATGAAGAGTTTGGAAACCGATTTTTGTAATGAGTTGTGTGTTACCACGAAAAATCCAATATTTTCCTTACTAGAGTGATGTGTAGTCTTAAATACCAAGATCGAAAGTGTACAGTAATATACGTACTTATTGATATAAAAAGTGATTTTAAATCAACATAAAACCCTTTTTGATTTGTGAAAATCCCTGTAAACTTTATGTGTTGTTAACTCCCTATGTGATTCGCTATAACCATACTATGACTGAAATGAACCTGCCACGACGTTTCTCAGGCGTCGAAAAAGATGATGACACTTGTCACCTCAGACCTGTCGGTCTAGCTGTTGCATGCAACTAAGATGTGGTTTGTCAAACCCAATATAGATCTATACACAACTATCATGTTCTCCCTACAAGAGACTATGGTTATAACTACCAGGAATTTTAACCCGTACTCTAGGAGTACTAAGAAGAATGTCTCATAATTTACGTTAACAAGTTTACGTGTAGTGTGCGTGAGTGTAAAACCTTTTTCTATGGGAATAAAACCTTCCGAAATGTGTTTGTTGTGTTAGTGGAAATATAAACTATACCTATTATAGCTTATCAAAACGGTTTGTAATGGTAGAAATCCTCTTTGTATATAATGTAAACTTTTATAATGAGGTAAACGACATGTAATATAACCAACATGTATTTATATATGATAATACACACCTTTCTCAGCAAGTTACAAGGTGTAAATGAGTTATTAACAATTTGCTAGTGTTATCACTTCCGTTCCTGTTCTTGGAATAATTATAGAAAAATCATACGGAGTCAAAAAATAAATCCGTAAACTCTGAGAGTTTAGAAATTTTGTCTAGTTTGTTCATAAAATTTATTATAATTTTTAGAAGTCTCTAACTGGTGTTAAAATGTTCATATTCACAGACAGGTCTGAATTCGTAGCTACAGTGATAGGCAGTTTTGTAAAAATCACCAAAACTTGTAGAAAATCGTGTGAATATGTGCAAGTAGTCATTTCAAAGTTATAAACCTGAAATATTTTCATCTAATATAGTTTTGAAAACTAAAAAGTTTAAGATGTTCAAAACAGTCCGTGAATGAACATTAACATTTATATTGGAAGCTGATATTTAAGTTTAATTGTGTTCAACATGAAAAGATAGGGGTATGAACTCACATTGAGTGATTTCAGTAGATGGATGATAAAGAAAAGAAGTGTTCAACTCAAGAACACTTGGGAGATGCTTGAAGATTTGAAGATCTAACAACAAATATGACTATATTTGTGTAAGGAACCCTTGATTTGAGTGAGGGGATGTAAGGAAATCAAGTGAAGGATGAAATTTACTTACCAAAGGAGAATGAAAAAGCTCAAAACCGCTAGAGAATCTCAAAATCTTGGAGAGAAATGGAGAGAGAAAAGTGTATTTGCTTTTGGTGGAGTGTTAGTGATCTAGGGAGAATGAGTAGTAAAGTTTCTTTGTGTGTGGAGGCTCAAGGAAACTTGTGGGGGAAGGATAAAAGGTACAAGGATTGGGTAATGGCTGATATGAATAGTGACATATAGCAATAATAGTGACATGGAGTGGGTATGGAAGGTTGCTTGTGTCATAAATTTATGGTAAAGTCAACACTCTATCACCAAATCTTATCCACTAGATATTATTCTTAGATAAAGATTTCCCTTAAAATGTGCTCAAATTATGAAAATATAGGGTTTTATATGTCAAAATATAGTTTGGGTGAAAATCTCACCTCAAAATCATTAAAAACATGCTCAAAACGCTAAAAGTATTGAAAATCGGGTAAAAGTTGCGAATATCTGAAGTTCAGGGTCGGAGGTTCGGTCCTAGCTATTAGAACCGAAAGTAGATGGGAACCAATAGGAGGGTTTGGTCTTGAGCATCTTCGCATGCGAATATGGGGGGGATCGAAATGGATCGAAGGTAGTCTTGGACCCGAAGGTAACATCTCGGACCGAAGGGTGAGTTCGGGTTCAGTCTATACGAGGCTCGGTCCCATATGCAGCTTCGGTCTTATACAGGTTCGGTCCTCCTAGTTCGATTATTAAGGTTGTTCGGTCCAGGTGGCTTCTTAGGGTTTCGCCTCTAAGAGGTTCGGTTCCTTAGAGGGTTTTCGGTTCTCAAGAGGGTTCGGTCCTAAGAGGTTGTTTTTCACAAAATCTTCCTGTTTTGTGCGATTTTTGATCAGGTTAAGGGTCGTGATGCCCCAAATGATTATAAAAAGTTGAAAGGAGTTTTGAGAGAGACTTAGGAGAGATTTCACATGCTTGGAGAGATTTGGGAGAGACTTGAGATAGAGAGAGATAGAGCGAGAGAGATTGAGAGAGGTTTCATTTGTGACCTTTTTGAGTGTTTAGATTCGCAATGCAAGATTTGTACACCCCGTTAAGCCTCGTTATGGTTGTTATATGCCTCGGGGGTATGGAATAAGGTTTTATCAAATAGTTTCATCACTTACCCTGATTAGGGTTTAGAATTTCTGGGCATACGAACTTTCCAAGTGATAACTTCTTATTAAAATAGTGAGTTGTACAATAGTAACATAATGTAAACCCTAATATACAAGGGTTAGATGAGTTGACCGGTTTGACCTGTTGACTTTATTTGACTTTGACTTGATCGGAAATTAATGGTTGTCACATGGTGTCAAATTTTTAAAACTAAACCATGCCTACAAATTTATATATACCATATGGACCAAAATTGTAATTTACTCTAAGAACATGGATATTTTAAGAATAATGATGACGAATGATTTGTATGCTCAAAAATCATATTAAAGTGATATTACTAATTAGTATATGATACTAATGGGCCACATTAACAACAACTTGATACAATTGATTACTTATTAGAAAATAATTTTAATAAATATTCAGTAAACTCTTACAACTAATTGAAAGTAATTATTTATATGAAATAATTATTTTTATTAGCAAGTAACATTACATAATTCATATTGTATGAATTATTAAGTCATGTACAACATTGTGGACTAGATATATTCTTTTGTTATTTACGAAAATTAAAGTTTATATTTTATAAACTTGGTTTATAAAATATAAAACTCATGATTTCTTTTTATATCTTAAAGGCCAAAAATAGATGGAGGGACAAGAAAGCTAGGAAACAACATGCTTTTGTTTTTATAGACTTTTGTTGCTAGGGACATGGTGTCTTTGAGCACAAGAATCAATAGGTAAAGACCTTACTTTAAATTAAATAAGTTACTAGCTTTTGGCTCTTCTTTTTTACTAATGAAAAACGTTAGATGCATGTGGATATGCATTTCTCTCTCATTTTTTTTTCATTCTTTAGAAGATTGCTTGCATCTTCTTCCTCTTTTTATGTTCTTATTTTGATATGAGCATAAAGTATAAGAGATTAAGATTTTTATATAAAAGAACTAACATTCTACATCAAGTTGAGTCATTGTTGGTGTTTTAATCTTTCTAAAACTTACAAGATGATCTTTGGTGGGTTTAACTTGTTTATGTTATTCAAAATTTATAAGTCTTCCGTTACCAAATCTTATGTTTTTTAAACTAATTTTTGAGTAAAACTCAACAGATGATTCATTTTAAAGTAAATACACATTTGTTCTCTATATGGCTTACCGCTTACCCAAATTCATACATGATGTCCTTGTATTGGATTTTTTTAGATGCTTGGTCCATGTAGTTTACCGTTGTTACATATAATGTCTCTTAGAAGTTAGAGCTAACATCAAAGTTGTTACTTTTTATAATATGGAAATTTTCTCTTGTATTTTTACTTTTTTTTTTTTGTCATTTTTTAAATATGAGGGACCAATTCTATAAAAGAACCACCGATCACCACAAGTATCATCGCCACCAACACGATCACCATCATTCCACTAATTACCACCAATACAATCACCACAAAACCACTTTTACCCATACAATCACCAAACACCATCATCACCACCTTACCACCATCTATGTCATCAATTTTACACAACAAGAATATGGAGGTGAGTGAGTTTATTTATGGTTCCTGGTCTTTCATAGAACATGCATACTCACACACATCTATAAAATCATATTTCAAGGAAAATAGCACATGCTCTAATTTCTTACCAATCACCAATAAAGAGAGAGTGTAGGATGAAAGCATGAACACATACCAAGGAATTAAATACTCAATCTCTTTAATTCATCGTTTTCCCTCCTCGATTAACCCATGGTTATTGATTGAGAACCACATCAGCAAAAGCACAACTAGATCATTGATTGGGGGTAAGTCTCAACTTTATTGAGGCGTATTTGGGGATCAGTATAGAAGGGGGAAGGAGGGGGTAGATTCGATTCATAAGAGATTGAGAAGAAGAGGAGAAGGTTGTTGTCGATCTAGAGGCAAGGGGGTTTGATTCTTTAACGATGAACCATGGGTATAGTTCACCACCAAAACCACCAATCAACGCCACCACCATGCCAGTCAACCTTGAAGCCACAAGAGAGAAAGAGAATTTGCGCTCTCTTTAGAGCTTGAGAACCATTTAATAACATAAAAACAATAGGAAATGTATAATAGTCCCTGTCTAGGTATTTAACGAAGCTATTTAGATGAAATTAGACTTAGGGACGTCCGATACAACAACTCTAAACTACATAAACCAGCCATATAAAAAAATCCACTATTAAAAGTAAATGTATGAATTTGAACATACCACATGGACCATATGTGCAATTTACTCTTAATTTTATTGGTAGGAGCAGTTTTGCATATATTTTTGGGCATTTTCAACTTGGGAGGAGCATCAATATTGGTGGCGGTTGCCGGTGGGTCCCGGCGTTGAAACCCACAAACAGACGCGTGGACATAACACGCATCGAAACATTAAATCAAAAGGAAAACCAGAGGAGGAGCCGTTTGCACCACCGCGTTCTGTTTACTCTTTCCACCTCGGCGTTCATAAAAAAGAGACCAAAACTTCTCCATCATTTCATTCTTCAAACCCAAGCAAGAATTATTCCCAATTTCCCAATTTCCCAACCCAATTCATCTTTACTTACCCCTTTTCCCTTTCACGTTTTCTGAAATTTATACAGAATTCGATTTACAACCACTCTTTCAGCTTTTCAGATACCCACAGGTCTTCGATTTGTTCAGTTAACAGACAATCGGAGAAGCCCACCACCAGTTCACCATAAGCGGTACCGGCGTCATGCCAATTGAGAACACCGCTGGCTATATGATCCCTGTGTTGCCATCAAATGACCTCGCATATCCCTTTGGCAAACTAGGTTTGGATCTATCTGACTCTGAGCTTCGGGAAACCGCGTATGAGATCTTCGTCGGGGCTTGTCGGAGCTCCGGTGGAGGTAGGCCGTTGACTTATATGTCTCAGTCGTCTGGGAGGTCATCTGACAAGGCGTCATCGTTGCCGTCGCTGCAGAGGTCACTGACGTTGACGGCAGCCAGTAAGGTGAAGAAGGCGTTGGGTATCAAGCATAAAAAGAAAAACAACAGTTCCGAATCGAATGCTTCTTCGACGGAGAATCGGCCGGCAACAATAGGGGAGCTGATGAGGGTTCAGATGAGGATCTCGGAGCAAATTGATTCTAGGGTTCGACGTGCATTATTAAGAATCGCCGCTGGACAGGTAATCATGCTAATAATTTAGAGAATTACAGTTCCTTTAAACTTGTTTCGTCTGCGATCACTCTAATTACAAACTTTTTGCAGCTTGGTAGGCGCATCGAATCAATAGTTCTACCCATAGAGCTTTTACAGCAATTTAAATCATCCGATTTCCCAAATCAACGAGAATATGAAGTATGGCAAAAGAGAAAATTGAAGGTACTCGAGGCCGGACTGTTGCTCCACCCTAAACTACCTATTGATCGGAAAGACCCATCGGCTCAAAAACTCCGACAGATCATAAGGGCGGCTCACGACCGACCAATTGAGACCGGAAAATACAGTGAAGCGTTTCAAACCCTTCGAACAATCACAATGGAGCTTGCTTCTCGGTCATCTGACGATTATACCCCTGACACATGCCATTGGGCAGATGGATCCCCTTTGAATCTTCGTCTCTACCAAATTCTTCTTGAAGCTCTTTTTGATGTCGAAGAGCCAACATCCATGATTGAAGAGGTCGATGAGGTGTTAGAACTCGTAAAAAAGACATGGGGAATCTTGGGAATTGATGAAAAACTCCATAATCTTTGTTTTTCGTGGGTTTTATTCAACCATTATGTATCCACAGGTCAAGTTGAGAACGATTTCCTTTTCGCTGCTGATAATTTATTGCTTGAAATCAAAAAAGATGCAAAGTCGACTTTGGATTCTGTTTACACCAAGATTTTGTGTTCCACATTGAACTCAATGTTGGAGTGGGCAGAAAGAGGGCTTTTAGGGTACCATGAGTCGTTTTACAGGGGTAATATTGACTTAATGCAAAGTATTCTATCACTAGCGTTATCTGCTGCCACCATATTGGCAGAAGAAAATCCCCGTGAAAATGGTGGAATGAAAGCCATTGATGTTGCAAATGCCAAAGTTGATATCTACATCAGATCATCCATGCGCAAAGCTTTTAATCAGGCAAGTTTTGATCTTTTGCATTAATTAGCTAGAAATAGCAACATACTTAGCATCTAGAAGACAAACCCTTTTGCAGAACTAATCTTTCTTGTGTTTCTTCTATTTAGGAAATTGAGAAATTGCGAGTAAGTCGAAAGTCAACAAAAAGTCAACTAAACAGTCTTCCATCACTCTGCATACTTGCCCAAGATGTAACTGACCTAGCTTTTACTGAAAAGGAGATTTACAGTCCAATTTTACAAAAATGGCATCCTCTTGCAGTTGGGGTAGCAGTAGCCACCCTCCATTCATGTTTTGGACAAGAAATCAAGAAATTTGTTTCGGGAATCAGTGAGTTGACTCCAGGTGCTATTCAAGTACTAATAGCAGCTGATAAGTTGGAAAAAGATTTAGTACAAATGGCAGTTGAAGATTCGGTCAACAGTGATGATGGTGGAAAGTCAATAATTCAAGAAATGAGTCCTTATGAAGCCGAAGGTGTGATTGTGGATTTGGTTAAATCTTGGATAAAAACTCGAGTTGATAGACTTGAAGAATGGGTTGATAGAACTTTGCAACAAGAGGTAACTTTTTTACTTCTTTTAGTAACCAAGTTTTACATTTGTTCCGCTTTGGTCCCTCAAGTTTTTAATTTTCTTTTTCGTTTATAGGAGTGGGACCCACGAGCAAATAGAGAACGGTTTGCTCCTTCTGCTGTTGAAGTTTTAAGAACTATTGATGAAACTTTGGAAGCTTTCTTTTTATTACCAATTCCTATGCATCCCGATTTACTACCCGAATTGATGAGTGGTCTTGATAGATGCCTTCAAGATTACATTTTAAAGGCAAAATCCGGTTCTGGTAAGTATTACTTTATTTTATATTCTTTCTGCAAAAAGGGTTGTCCTTACAGGAACCCTAACCCTGAGTTGAGTTGGCCCACACTGTAAAGTGGGCCAACTGGCCAGCATAAGGGTTACTGAAAGAATTACCTTTTTCAGAAGATGACTATTTATTTTCTTGTTATAGGATCTCGACGTTCTTTTCTTCCAATTTTGCCCCCATTGACTCGATGCAAAGGTGGGTCAAAACTCAATGGTGTCTTCAAGAAAAAAGATCGGTTACAAATAGGTCAAAGGAGGAAACTTTTACCAAATACTACAACAAATGGTAACGATTCTTCCCATAGTATCCAACATTTATGTGTTCGGGTCAATACTTTTCACTACATTAGGAAAGATCTAGAAGTCTTGGAAAAAAGAGCAATCGCCCATTTAAAAAGCAACGGGATCCGTGAGGGTAATTTCGTCAAAAAACACTTCGAGTTATCTTTCTCCGCATGTGTAGAAGCAATCCAACAAGTATGCGAGGCAACCGCATATAAAGTCATATTTCATGAATTAGATCACGTGTTCTATAACGGATTATACACAACCGAAGTTTCATCATCTTCAAGAATCGAACCGTTTTTACAAGAACTCGAACAAAATCTTGAAATCATAGCGGAAACTGTACAAGAAAACACGATTCGAACGCGTCTAATCACAAACATAATGAGAGCTTCGTTTGAGGGGTTTTTGTTGATTTTGCTTGCGGGAGGGCCTTCTCGTAATTTCACACTCGAAGATTCTTCGATGATACAAGAGGATTTTAAGTTTCTTATGGATTTGTTTTGGTCAAATGGGGATGGATTACCGAGTGATTTAATCGGGAAACATTCGGTTGTAGTGAAAGGGGTTTTACCCCTTTTAGGTATTGACACAAGTCTTCTTATTGAGAAATTTAAATCTTTAGTTGTTGATAATGATGGTCATGTTTCATCAACAAAATCAAGACTTCCTTTGCCTCCAACAACTGAGGTGTGGGGCCCGGGTGAAGCCAACACGGTTTTGAGAGTGTTGTGTCATCGGAATGATAAGGAGGCTACTGTGTTCTTGAAGAAGAATTATAATTTCCCGAAAAAGCTTTGATGGTTCTTGTGATTATAGCTTTGGGTTTGTACTTTGTACATAAATACGAAGAGATGCCATTTGATGGATAATGTATTTTTGGTTTGTGTTTTATAGCGATGTGGGATGAAACCCAGAGATATTTATTGTACATGGGTTATGAGAAGTTTTTGAGATGCATTGAATGTTTATGGTTTCAAATTTTAAATGTATATTTCTTCATTGTAGTGGTTTAAAGTCGCTATGAATGTGTGATCATGGATTGCTAAGATATTCTTAAATAATAGCAAAGATATGTTGAATTTACATATCATGTTCGAAAACTAGAAAAAAAAAATCAAATGTGTTTGTATGTATTGTATTTTAGTTGAAGTTTATTTATTTATATTTTCAAAACAAACGTAGATTGTTTAATTAGTTAGAACTGTATACAACCAAGGTTGCATGCCTTCCTATGTAGCAGGAGCCTGGAAAGCATTATATGGAAAATGGCAACGTACTTTTAGTCTTTAGATCATATTAATTTTATTAAACTAATGAATGGAGCCTGTATATATGATATTATTTTATGTAAACTCATTTAGTATTTTATATAGATGTATAGGAAATTAATTGATTCATATATTTTGGTTATATTTTGTATTGAGATAAATTATGAAAAAAAATATATCTTGGCTTAATAATTTATGCGGTTATAATGGTGCAATTGGTTTCAAAATTTGATGATATTTAATGTACCAGGTTGAATAAAAAAATGACAGAATTTATTAAACTCATGTGGGTTCCGATGTCCGTGAATTTCGTACTTTAGCATTTGTGAGTTACCGAAAGCATCATTTATGATTTTTTTTTTTTTTTTTTGAAACGGCGATATATTAATATAAACAAAAATGAGAGGGTCTCAGTGATATATCTGGATCTATATGAATATTATGTAATATAAGTTATAATAAAATTTTGATTAAGCAGCTAAATTTATTTATAAAGATAAAAAGGCAAAAAAAAACTATTAAAAAACTAATAAGTCAGTGTCCAACTGTCCACGCTTGCATAATTGTTGTTGATAGTAGTAATTCCGCGTTTATTGGTCAAAGGATTGTTTTTTTCTCTGTATGTATTACATTTAAGCTACCTCTCAGAAAAATGTAAAAAATAAAACAAAAAACATTCCTAGTGCCAAGGATTCCTTTTCGTTAATGTTCTTGTTCGTGTTGTGGTGGTCGAGCTACTTTTCTGCAAAATAAAGTAGATGTCAATTGTTAGTGCCAACATGAAAAAAGGTAAATTATCAACAAATCAGAGACCTCACTTATGGATTATCAATTCCTTACTGTAAAAACATACAACAGCCCAATAAAAAAAATAAAAAAAAATAATAAAAATAAAAAAGTGTAGTTAGTGTATTTATACCGATCTAGATTTCTTTGCTGTCTTGCCACGAATCCTGTTCTTTTGAGGTTTTAGTTTATATATCCGAACCATCCAATGATGAGTTGTGAACACCTCTTCAAAATGAGTCAACTTGAAATGTTTTTTCCCTATTTCAGTCCTCCTAACTCTATCATATCCTCTACCACCATCCGTCTCCACAAACCTATCCAATAAAAAAAAAAAAAAAAAAAAAATCAGATATATATACATAATATATCGTTGAACAAAAAGTAAAAAAGTAGTAGATTTTTTACTAATTACCTGAAATATGATAGTTTGTACATAAGGCAGTTTAGCATGGTTGGAGTCGCCTGTGAATCAATTCGGTATTGCCCATCTCTCTGTGTATATGATGGATGATATTATTAGAATTCAGAAGAGATAAATAACAATCAAATAAGTAAACTTACAAGATAATCAGGCTCCTTGATATGTGGGAAGACACCTCCTCCTATTCGCACCATCCATAGGAACTTATTTATATCATCACTAGAGTATCCCACAACACCTGACACACACATGAACATCAATCAAAACTTCAAATAATTAATTTCAATTTTCTTAAAAAGAAAAAAGAAAACCAACCTCCAAAAACAACAAGGACATATTTGACATCCAAGGAGTTGAAAATTTCCCAAGCAGCTTTTTCGGGCGATGACATGGCAGTGCCAACAGTAGCAATATGTGTGTTGTTCCATGTGTTGTTATCAACTATAACTGTCCGGTTAGCCATTGCTGTTGTTTGGTAACCATAGTCCCACCATGATGCCACCTGAAATCCAAACCATGGTTAAGACCTTATATATATGCTCATTGAATACACTGAGCTACTTACTTTATCATCTACTTCAGTGTTATGGCTTAACCATGCATAAGCCTCTCTGAAATCATCAAAAACGTGAAGCCCCTCGGGTGAATGAGAAGTCAGCACAATTGAAGGAGCTGAATAAGCCTCTGCTGCAGCCCATACACTATGGACCTACACAAATGGGTAAAACCGTCATTTTTACTTGATTAAAAAAAATCTACTTAATGGAAAAATATATATATATATATATATAGTTACCACATAGAAAGCACCCAGCAACACAATTAAGAAAAGAGCAAAAATGGATGTGTCAACAGGCAAAACTAAAGGCCTCTTTTCAGTCTTCTTCTTCTTAGAACTCTCTTCCACAATCACCTTCTCTTTCTTCTTGTTTTTCTTGGAAGGTCTTTCCTTCAACAACTCTTCTTTTTTGTCATTATTTTCCATGGAAACATTACTAGCAGATGCTCCATCCCCTGCCTTAGTGATCAAAGTCAACAAAACAATTTCAAGCACTAAAAATTTTCATATTGGAGGTACTTACTTCAGTCTGGAGATTTTCAGATAGGTCAGATACATAGAATTTAATTGATCTTGTGAAAACATCAAAGGCTTCAGAAAGAGCAATTCCAGATAATATGCATGCAGCTGGAGCAAGCACAAGCATTAATCGTACCTGTCATGTCATTAAAGATCAAATTTTAAGATGACATGAAATTAAGTATTTGAAAAAAGGGTAAAAATGTAAAATGACTAGAATCCTTACCATGACACTGGAAAAATATACCGACATTACTATGTAAAGGATGACAAAGGAACTTGCATCAGATAGAGGTGAAAAACATGCCTGCAACATTGTCACAAATTACAAGGGGTAAAATTGGAATAGGTAAAAGACACTAACAGGAATTGAGATGAACTTACAATAATTCCAGCTGGAACCAAGAATGCTAATACATTTAGATCCATAAAGTAAGATGGCCAAGTAGGTGGTTGATGTTCACTGACACTTGCAATAATTGGTATGTATTTGCTTGCATACGTTCTAAATCAATACAAAAAGGAATGTCACATGTCACATGTCACATATCACATATAGAAAGTTTCTGAAAATATATAGAGCATATTATTAATATCATTTAACCCTATATTAAAAAACAAGAGACATGAAACTCACGGATCAAGAAGACTTAAACTTCTTCCACTCCATCCCTTTGTTGGACTAGATGCAACCACTGCTACAAGTACAGCTACTACACCACAGCATACCACCCTGAATGAATCAATAAATAATTTATTGATTATATAACCATTTTTATAATTTCAGATTTGCTAAATACTAAAATAGGTTTTCAGTCATTGAAAAAAAGCTTTCAGGAAACAAGATTTATTGAATTCTTGAAAATTTAATACAAAATACAAGATGGGCTTACATGCCAACTGATATAACGAGGGTAGCAGCTACTTTAAACATCTTTGGTGAGAGGATGCCTTTAATGTAATATGCAAGAGCAACCAAATGGATGATAATGAAAACCTGTAATAATGTTACAAAAACAAAGAGTTAGTGATATCAATAAAGTTACAAAGACCAAAAAGAAAAACTATGAGCAAGAAGGAATATCTGAAAGCAAGCCTAAAACTACACAATAATCATAAGAATCTAGGTTCAATCTAACTGGTTTTTGATTGTTCAATCTAAAAGCACATAAATGCTAAATTTCCCAAGAAGCTATATTGAAATTTACTATGAAAAAAAAATGCTTAAAATTTTCCCTGAAAAGGTACAACTTGTAACTCACCAAAAACGATGCAAAATGTTCTGATGTCATGACTGCATTAAAACCAACAACAGGCACTAATGCTGCCAATAATGTTCCCAAGACAACCTGCATAGAATAGCAAACAATGGTTATAAAGTATAAACCAAAAGCAATTGCATGTTTCCTTTTTAGTTTTTAATTAAATAATAATATAAAACTGGACCAATCAAACACTTACAAGTGGAGCATATGCAATGTAGAGCCGAGATGAATAGCGACCAGTCACAATGCAAAGAAGCACATGCATTGGTATCAGGTTGATAATAAAGGTGTACCCTCCCCAAGAGCATACCTGAAAGATACAAGAATTTAAGGAAACAACACAAAAAAATGAGAGATATAACAAGATACTATAAAAAATCTATAGCATGCCTACCATGTAGAAGTATGCAATTGAGTTTAAAGTAGCATAGAAAAGGGATCCTGTGTTCAATGTCTGCATATCCAGTAAAAAATCAATCTCAGAAAATAGTTGCATCATTCAACAATGAATTTGTTAACAGTATTTTTTTTTTCTTTTTTGTTGTCTAGAGAAACAAAACTTGAAAGCAAGTTGTACAAAAAGTGAACCTTAATGTAGAGATAGAAGGTGAAGATCAAAGCAAAGATGGCTACAGCTTCATTGTCATAGCTCCCAGCCACTGATCTAGATATGTAAGATGGAACCTGTAGAATATTTAACATAAACAGGTAAATCCACTAGGAGATCATGATACAGAATCGATGATTATTCCATATAACAACATGCATCTATCTTCATCTAAAAGAAAACTGAAACATCAGAAAATACCCAATGAATGATCTGCATACCATGGCCAGAAGAACTGCAGCTGTTAGTCCAGCACCTGCTCCTTTAACTTCCTACATAAAGGAAGGAGAACAAGAATCAGAGATTTCTATACAAGTTTATGTGAGTTATGGATATGGATTTAGAACAATCTAAAGACCAGAATGTGGAGATGGAAAAAACAAACCTTTGTCAAGAGATATGTTGCCCATGCAGCAAAGGCTGAGAATACAGGAGCAGTGAATACACAAACAGTTTCCACAGATAGAGGAATATTCAAGGACTGAAGTACCCTACAATCATAAACAGTAATCAACAACAAGAAAACCCAAAATCCCATACAAATAGGGTAAGGGCCTATATTCCTGCATATGAAACTCTACCCTACAATGGAAAGGTGGTGGAAAAGCATATGCAGAGGATAAAACAAATATAGACAGTAACAACTCTAATATAAGCTTATAGTGTATTCCAACTAG